TCTTTCTCTCCTCTTTCTCTCCTCTTTCTCTCCTCTTTCTCTCCTCTTTCTCTCTTTCTTCTCTCTTTCTTCTCTCTTTCTTCTCTCTTTCTTCTCTCTTTCTTCTCTCTTTCTTCTCTCTTTCTTCTCTCTTTCTTCTCTCTTTCTTCTCTCTTTCTTCTCTCTTTCTTCTCTCTTTCTTCTCTCTTTCTTCTCTCTTTCTTCTCTTTCTTCTCTCTTTCTTCTCTTTCTTCTCTTTTTCTTCTCTTTCTTCTCTCTTTCTTCTCTTTCTTTTCTCTTTCTTCTCTTTCTTCCCTCTTTCTTCTCTTTCTCCTCTTTCTTCTCTTTCTTCTCTTTCTTCTCTTTCTTCTCTTTCTTCTCTTTCTTCTCTTTCTTCTCTTTCTTCTCTTTCTTCTCTTTCTTCTCTTTCTTCTCTTTCTTCTCTTTCTTCTCTTTCTTCTCTTTCTTCTCTTTCTTCTCTTTCTCCTCTTTCTCCTCTTTCTCCTCTTTCTCTCTTTCTTTCTTTCTTTCTTTCTTTCTTTCTTTCTTTGTTTTCTGACTTGGTCTCTTGCTCTCTTTCCCTCTTGCGCTCTTTTTTCTTTCAAGTTTGTCGCTTCTTTTGTTCTCTCCTGTTTGTGCCTGCAGTTTGGTTTGCTTCAAAATGTCCGGGCCGCCTTGTCTTTTGGGGTGCTTTCCTTTGCTCTTCTGCTGTCCTTTGCCTTTGTCATGTGCTTCTGTGTTCATGCATCCACGTCCTTGCCCCTAGGCCCTTGTGGTCTTTCCCTGTTTTTGCTCGTACGACAACAAGTACTTGCACAATGTTGTCTATTTTCTGGTTTCCTTTTTGTTCAACAACAAGTGTTGACGAACAGGGCCAACTGTACCACCAAGCAAAAGAGACATCTGCAAGTCGTCACTCACGATGTTTCCACTGTCTTCCTCATACTCTTCCGTCGCTTCCGCAAATTTTCTGGAGGTTCTTGGACTTGTGATTTCAGGAATTCTAAGCGTCTTGCACGCACGTGAGGCCGATGCTCCTCAACCAACATTCTCTAAGTTTCAAGTCCAAACTCGTTAGCCATGAGCTTGATTTCATCAGTGACGTCATATTAGTCTTGGGGCTCTATGTTGTTCCACTTCATCCCATCTGTTTTAGGATGTCCGTGCAAGCGAGTGCAGCCTGAAAGTGGTGTTTGACGCGGCCTTGTGATTTTGAGGCGTCAGCATGCCGTAGCCTGTGTGCTCATTTGTAAGCCGCTTGCTTCTGAGTGTTGTGGATAATGAGGATGAGACGTTCCCGCCGCCTCGCCGCATTGATTTGCAGCTTGCCGGCAGTCCGCGTGCTCTCCCCGACCTCCCCGACCAAGTCTGTGTTTTTGCGGGCCTTCGCCATGACAGATGCTGGGGCCAGTCCCATGTGGGAGTCCATGTGGTCCAAGGGTCTCAAGCCCAAGGAGGCTTTTGACTGTGGCGAGGCTTCCCCAACATTGACAGAGGTCCTGAGTCGCAAGCTTCTTGGCTGCACTCAGGCGGGTGCACATTTTTTTACATCGAATGCCTTTTTGTTCCAAAGCCAGGCTTCTTGAACATCAGCAGCCAATACAAAAACATACAAAATAGATGTTGCGAACAACGGGAATTCTGACCCGACGCATCTGCTGCTGGCTGTCAGAATCAGGTCATTTGGTGATTGTACAGGCAAACGGGCTCTTGTTCCTGGCTGTGGCCGTGCCTATGAGTCTTTGCTGGCGTGGCCAATTTTTTGGAGGTATTGTGGTGATTGAACCGGCCAATTTTTGGTGTTTGGTTTTCTTTGACAAGCGTGACGTGGGTTTGTGAGGACGCCATTGCTCTTGCAGAGCATGGTTTCGACAGTGGCCCGGTTGCAACATGTTGCAGTCAAGAAGGCGTTAGGATTTTTCGCGTTCCTGGCACCGGTCAGATTTCTGAAACCTCAGACCCTCTGGCCCGCAGAGACTGCGTGTGCCGTCGTGTGCCCAGGTGTTGTCGCCATTGACTTGGCACCTACAGCTGTTGATGCTGCAAAGGAGTTCCTTAAGGCTTCCAGCAGCCCTGCCGCTGCTAGAGTCGAGGCGGGGAAGAGCTTGGCAAAAAATGTTGCAGGCCGAGGGATTTATGTGGGCTTTGAAGTTATCAGTGCCATCACATGCCAACCTTGGGGTGGAGGTGGCGTGTGCAGACTTCTTCAAGTTCGAGCTGGAGCCCAAAGCGGATGTGATTTGGGACTCCCAGCTGCTCCGGTTTAGGGTTTAGGGTTTAGGGTTTAGGGTTTAGGGTTTAGGGTTTAGGGTTTAGGGTTTAGGGTTTAGGGTTTAGGGTTTAGGGAACTTCGAGGGCACGCCTTACGGGGTTTATAAGGCTTGGAGGGCATACAGGCTTCACTTTGAAAGTTGCAGGTCTGACTTGTAGATAATTGAGGACCCGTTTAGGTTTAGGGGGTTTCAGAGGCGCGCCCTTTGAGGTTGTTGAGCTTGTTGGCATGTCGGGCTGTGGGTTGGATGGTGTTGGACATTTTACGCAGCCGGAAACTCCAGGCTAAAGGGGCTCTTTTCAACCTTACAATCCTAAACCCGAAACCCCAAACCTTAAACCCCAAACCCTAAATCCTAAATAAACCCCTAAACCCTAAACCCCCGAAACCCTAATAAACCCCAGACCCTAAATCATAAACCCTATTTCCTGCAGTGTACTTGAGGGGCCGGTACTGATCTGCGGGGAGGCTTGGGGTTTTCAGGTTTCGGATGTCCGAACGCAAGCAGTCAAGACAGGGGTTTAGGGTTTAGGGTTTAGGGTTTAGGGTTAGGGTTTAGGGTTTAGGTTTAGGGTTTAGGGTCTTCAACCACAGGTTAGCTTGAGGACTCTAGGGCCGCTGCAACAACCGCCAATCCAGACCCTAAACCCCAAACCCCAAACCCCAAACCCCAAACCCCAAACCCCAAACCCTAAACCCTAAACCCTAAACCCGAAACCCGAAACCCTAAACCCTAAACCCTAAATCCCCTTGACCCCAAACCCCACATCCTAAAGCCCAAACCCTAAACCCCAAATCCCCTTGACCCCACCCCGAATCCCATAAGGACTGCACGTTCCTCTGTGCGTTGGATCCCAGCGTTCGAACGGACTGGGCAAGGCGATCCCGGAACTGGAATCCCAAAGACCCCCCAAAATGCCTGGAGTTTTGGGCTTCGGGGTTTAGGGTTTGGGGTTTCAGGGTTTTAATGTTTTAGGTTTTAGGGTTTGAAGGTTTTAGGGTTTGAGGGTTTGAGGGATTCAGGGATTTTCGGGTTTTAGGGTTTAGGGCTTAGGGTTTGAGGGTTGAGGGTTGAGGGTTCCGGGGTTTAGGGTTTAGAGTTTAGGGTTTAGGGCTTGGGATTAAAACCTTGAACCCGAAGCCCAGACCTTCGAGGTTGGACAAAAAAACTCGTTGGTTTGCCTGGGTGAGGCCGTGGCATCAGCATTCATGGGCCAAGCTCCTATGCATAGAATCTGGTTAAGGCCTAAGCCGAACCCCCCCATACCAACAACCCCACAACCCTCAAGCCCGAGAAGTGGCCCTTAAACCCCTAAGTCTCTGTTCCCCCCAAAGCTTAAACTCTAAGCCCTGACAACCCCAAGACCCGAAGCCCTGGAACCAAAGAGCGTGCAACACACAACACAAAGGCAAACACACAGCAACCAATGTTTTTCTATTCAGGAAGTATTCCTTGAGTTGCAACGGGTTTCCTAGTATGATTTCAGGAATTTGCCATGTAAGGCTGGAGGAAGATGATGACCCTAAACCCTAAACCCGAAACCCTACACCCTAAACCCTAAACTGTTTTGATGTTTTGAGGAAGATGAAGTCGCTGCTGAAGCCGGGGGGTACGCTCCTGACTTGCCCCTGGGCTGTGAGGTTCCTTCTTTTTGTTGGAGGTTTAGGGTTTAGGGTTTCGGGTTTAGGGTGTCTTGGGGGATCCAGCGTGTTAATGGGTTTCAGGGTTTAAGGGCATGAAGGTGCCGAGGGCCCAAACCTAAAACCTGAACCCGAAACTCTAAACAATTCCCTCTTCCCAGAACCCTTTAAGACCCCAAATTAGGGTGGTTTCAGGTTTCAAGTTTTCTTTGCTTTTCTTCAAGAATTGCAAATCTGAGGGTTGCAGTGCTTAGTGTGCCCTAGACCCTAAAGCCAAAACCCCCAACCCAAAACCCCAAAGCCTAAACCCTAAGCCCTAAACCCCTAAACCCCTTAACCCTGAACCCTAAACCCCTGTGAAAACCCTAAACCCTAAACCCACAATGTCTGGAAGCCTTGAGGGGCCTACATGAGGCCCCCAAGCGGCTTTGCTTTCGCCGAGAGCCTCAGTCCTAAGTTTGCCTAAGTCCCCGTCCCTACACCCCAAATCTCCAGCCTTCTCAAACCCCTAACCCCCAAACCCGAAACAGGCATCTTCCCCATCTGCGACAAGGAGGGTGGCCCCCCCTTCGCCATGTCTGTGCCCCTGGTGCGTGGACTGTTGGAGCCGGAAGGAGTCAGGGGATGGGTTGAGGGTTTAGGGTTTAGGGTTTAGGGTTTAGGGTTTAGGGTTTAGGGCTTACAGGATTGCATTGCAGGCTTGAGAGGTTTGAGCCTGCTTTAGGCGGGTCAGGGGCTGGAGGTTCGCAGAGTTGGGGTCTGTGTGGTCTCTGCACATCCCATTTGTTTCAGCCTCGGCGCCATCATCTCAGCAAGCCAGCCTGAAAACTAGGCACCCTAAACCCTAAACCCTAGACCCAGACCCTAACCCCTAAACCCTACGCCCTGAACCCGCAGCCCTAAACCCGAAACCCCAAACCCTCAACATCCAAAACAGCGATGGGCTGCGCCCTGTGCCTTAAGTTACACGCTGGTTCCCGGAAACGCTAAACCCTAAACCCTAAACCCTAAACCCTAAACCCTAAACCCTAAACCCTAAACCGCTCACCAGGATTCGAAGCTGCTGAGATTCGTGAGGATGCGTGCCAGGGCTGCGAAGTTCAGTTTGAGGGCGGACATGCGGACACTCGAGCTCGTTCTGGGGTTCGGGTGTAGGGTTTAGGGCTTAGGGTTGGCCCCCTTATACTAACAGTCCTCAAGAGGGATCACAGTACCTCCCCTAGTCTGAGGGGGAACATCCCATTCCGTTCAAGGGTTTTGGATGTCCGGGGGTTTGGGGGTTTTGGGCTTTGATCGGGTGTTTAGGAACGCTAAACCCTACACCTTAAGCCCTAAAACCTAAAACCTTAAACCTTAAACCCCCCAAGCCCTAAGCCCTAAGCCCTAAGCCCTAAGCCCTAAGCCCTAAGCCCTAAGCCCTAAGCCCTAAGCCCTAAGCCCTAAGCCCTAAGCCCTAACCCTACACCCTAAACCCTAAAAGGCAGCCACACACGGCGGGCGGACCATCGCTCAGGGCGAAGACCGCGCCTCGACGTCGTGTCTCAGGGACGTTACATGGGCGCTTAATTTGGTCCCTGACCTCCTTCAGGGTTTAGGGTTTAGGGTTTAGGGTTTAGGGGTCATTTGTGCAGGGTATATAAGGGGTATATCGGGGTCTCCTAACGGTTCTGATACTTTGTTTTGGGTATATAAGGGGTAGATAAGGGTCCGCCTTGAAGGGCCCATGTTAAGGGCTACCCTTAGATTGTGGCATCTGACGTCTGAGTTTGGGGTTATTGCAGGCCTTAGCGTTTACAGGGTTTACAGGGTTTGCGAAATAGGTTGACGACAATTGATAACTAGGGCTACCTAGTCTTTGCAGTAGGGCTTAGGTCTCAGGGCTTGGGGTCTAGGGGTTTAGGGTTTAGGGGTTTGGGGTGTTTTGGGCTACGTAAGGGGTACCCTTAATGTCAAGAAACGTCCTAATTTTTTTTTTACCCCCACCCCGCAACCTTTTACCCTTTTGTTCGTCAGGGCCCCGTACAGTCCATTTTGAGGGCCCTGAACATGGAAGCCTCTGGTTCAAGAAGCCTCTTTTGGGTTCCTTACTTCCCTAACACCAACAGCCCCCGACACTTTCAACCCTAAACCCCTCCCCCCCTGAAAGCCTAAAGAGCACCCTGACGTCCGAGCGTCTGAGGGTGAATCCCATAGCCCCCCCCCCAAAGCCCGAAGTCCCAGATCCTTCCACCCCGCAGTTTCCAAGCAGGCGCTGGGTCGGTTTGTTCTCAGCGCCTGACGTGAGCAGCGCCGTCGGGGTCAGCGGAGAGACGTGCGCAAGAAAACCTGAAGCTTTATGGGTCAAGTAAGGGTGTTGGGTGTCGGGTTTCCACACATGTCGGGGTATCCTGAATACTTTCAGGTTCCGGTTGTTGGGGCTAGAGTAGGGAATGGGTTCCCTGAGCTCTAAGCCCGAAACCCTTGCGTGTGTAGGGTCTGAACCCATTAGTCAGAAAATAAAGTCGCTCCCAGTCAGAAAGGTGCAGCAAAGCTGACAAGAGAGGCCTCTCCTGGACGGTGTTCCGTCTCAGCCTACCGACGGCGAAGATCACCCTAAACCCTCAACCCTAAACCCTAAACCCTAGATTCCTGAAACCCTAAACCCCTAATTCCTAAACCCCTAAACCCCTAAACCCCTAAACCCCTAAACCCCTAAACCCTTAAACCCCTAAACCCCTAAACCCGCTTGTTTGGGGGCCCGCATTTTAGGGGCTAGGGTTTAGGGCGCAGGGCTTGGGGCTTAGGGCTTACGGTTGAAAGGGTTTTCGGGTTTAGGAGGTTCTTGTTCTACGAGTTTAGAGGGTTTTTCGGGATCAACTTCATTCGTGTATAGGAGGTGCTAGGATTCAGGGTCTTAGCGTCTAATCAGGGTTGGGGGGTGTCGAAGGCTACCGTAAGCATGCTGGTATGATGCCCAATGGCTGCAGACGAAGCACCGCTTGTGTTGATGATGTGAGTTTGTGTGCAATGCTGCCACATGCCCGGAAATCTATGAGCGGCAAAATGCATATACAATATAAGAACAGAAATTCGAAGAAGAAGAAGAAGAATAAGAAGAAGAAGAAGAATAAGAATTAGAATAAGAATAGTAGGACGAAGAATAGTAAGAATAAGAATAAGAATAAGAAGAATCATATTAATAGTAACAATACCATTTCTTATCATCATCGCCATATGTATGTGGTCACCAACCCCCCTTACAGCAGACTCTGGTCTCGAAACTGCAGAAAAAAGTGACGACAGCACGAGTTTTCGAGAATTTCGATTCTTGGAGTGGTGCCGATTTTCTCCAGATCAGCAGCCCCGAAAGGCCAAGACGAAA